GATGTTCATGTTGCTGCGGTCTGCAGTCTGGACGTTAGATGTCGCTGAAAATTACACACTGTAGCTTTAAATATTACACAAAAACATCTAAATCACAGTTTATTGTTATCATGAGCAGATGTGAAGGAGATAGAGTTTACTAAGTTTCCAGCCACATATGAAGGCAGTATTTTTAATTTGAACGAAGCACATGAAATCACTAAAGCCACCTGTTTAGTGATTTTCCCAGTTTTTGTAATTTTAAGGGTTAAATTAAGATTTCACTGGACAATTGTCTCCCTCAATAATAAAAATAGTTTGTGATTTTAACATTTTCTTATTCACAGAGAACTCTTAGAGCTAATTGCTGAGGTCCAGGGCTGGGAACGAATGGGTTTTGAGATCCCACGGAAAGTTTCTGACATCAAGCAGATCGAGGAGGATATTAGGATCCTCAGGGAGAAAACTGGGATGCTCGTCCGGAGTTACAACAGGTCTGGTTTATACACTTTTGTATTGCCAAGCTGCTATGGGTTTGATTAATGTACTGCAGATCCAACTTTTAAATGTCTCTAATTAGATTAGTGCAAAACCCTTATAAGTCATTCAAAATCTTTTATGCAATGTTTTTCTGTCAGAGTTATTGGACAACTCTCTCCTGATGAGCGGGTCCTGTTCTCGGAGCAGCTCTTTTTCATCGACAGTAAGATCAAGCCTGGCTTGACCAAGCTGCTGTGGTCAGACCAAAGAGACTCTAACCACTTTATCGACAACTCCCTCCCCCACGTCGACAAGGTTTCACTCAAATCTGCAAATATTCTCTTTGTAGAAGCTGAATGTTTGATGTTGTGCTAGATGCAATTAAGAAAACAAACCTTAACAGAGGTGGGTAATCCAGGTCCAGGAAGTAAAAACCCAGCCTATTTTTTATGTTAATCATATTCACTTAACCAGGTGATTAGCCCTTCAGGTGATTAGTCTGCACTCTGAAGCTGGTAATGCAAATGGTTGGAACCGACCTCTGTACATTCCTTTTACTTTCTCGACCTGGATTATCCACCTCTGAATCTCAAGTGTACATAAATAGAGCCAAAATGGAAAAACTGTTTATGAAAAAAAATGAGCTCACCCCATGATTCATTGTTTTCTATAACTTTTTAATAACTGTAAATAATTGTGTTATACACTGAAACTCTTATAGCATTTTAATCTTTTTACGGTCTGGATTTTGATTGGGTAATTTCCAGACCTTGAGTTCATACTTTTAGCAGAAAATGTATTAGAAAAGAAAGAACAGGTCCTGTAGCTTCAAAACAAGCCCACATCAACACCCCTCCACCACTGTGCTTGTTAGGCAAATTATCTTATTTGTGTGCTATCTTTAAATTTTCCTCAAACTCCACTTCCTTTTAAATGTATCTTAGTTCATCATTCACAACTGATGGCAAACAAGTGCATTCAATTAGCTAGGCAAGGCTAAGCATTTACTAAATCTGCTTGGAAAGCAACAGCAGTGTACCTTTGTCAACCAACTGTGGCTTAATAAATGAGTGTGATGTTTTTGTACTAAGTGGAAGAGAATGGATTTTCTTTTTGCCTGCATCATATCTGCAAAAAATCAGCTTCTCTTTCTTTTGTCTGTTTTTTTTTACCTCTTCAGATGCAGTCAAATGTTGATCGTTATAGAGTTGCCAATATGTCCATCTCCAACATTTGTAAGCAGATTAGTGAAAAGTTGCTGGTTAAAATAGACGACAAGACTGTGTACAGGTAAAAAAAAATATGTATTTCCTTGTTTATTGAGCTGGTACACTTAAACAAGAACAATTATAAAAGAACATCTGCAAAGTGGTTCTTTCACTTCCCTGTTTGTCAGCAACCTGAAGTTTGAGGAAGAACAGAAGGCTCATCAGCAAAGCAGGCTCCAAGCACTGCGCTCAAAACACATGGAGATTTTTACCAACATGACTCAGATTTGGAGCCTCTTTGGCAACCAAAGTGCTGAGGTGGGAACTTTGTGATTGATTTTATAAGTAGTTGTTTTTTATTTATTGATGCTGGAGTGTTACATTTGTTTTTTAGGATATTTTATTTCAACTAGGTTAAAAATGTGTTGTTTACCCTAAAAGTTTTATGACCCTTAACCCTTAGGTCTAAGAAGAATTTACTAGTTTAAAAAGTTCATAAATGTAATCTTTGTTTTTAACATGATCTTTGATGCTAAAGGGCCGGAACCATCTGGTGGCATATACAGAGAGGGTGGATGATATGGTTGAAAATGCATTTCACTGCAACATCAGGGACTCCATGAATAAGCTGTGCAGAGCCATCACAGAGGATAGCAAGATGTCACACAGGCCACTCTTCGAAGTCGTCATAGTGTTGAGACAGTCGTCTCCTAAAAGTCTGCCAAAGGTACAGCAAACTCACATAAACGTTTATGTAAATAGATATTTGCTGTAATCTGGAAATTTCACTCAAACCAAGTCTAAACCCACTTTTATTAAATAAAAGAAAATTGTCTTATTATCAGATAATACAAAACAGACAGAAACACAGGTACTTTCACAGATTATTTCTGGCACAAGCCTTTCTTGCTTTAGGTTATCATTGGTGAAATCCCTCCACTGTTTTGTCTAATGGGATCCTAAAGTTAAATAAACTACCCTGAAAATCATTTTTCTTTAAGGTTGTAGGGACGCGGCTGTTCCAACCGTTGCAGTTCCGAATTCTCCCGAATGGTGCCTGACTGAATGTGATTGGTGGATTATTAAGGGGGCGGGATTGTTGTGGCGGAAGGTTTGCAAGGATGTTTGGTTGTGGCCGGTGTCTCAGAAGCATCTTACTAACCAGTTAGCAAACTTAGTGCTAGTAGGTTACTAATGGGAAATTACATTAGGATCAAGTAACACTTAGGAACGACACTGTCAAGGAACGCTATGGACAGCGGAAACATGCAAGCGGAGGAGAGTTTTGTGTCAGAGGTCTTGGATGAGACTCCTCCGTCATACATTTTTTATTTAGAGGAGGAAAACGGGGACAAAGTTGTTTTGAAAGAGGACACCAGGGCGGCAGAAGCTTGGTTTGGTGTAGAAGGCTTATAGCCTTACGTGTGTGAGCCCTTGCCTCACAACGCTGCCAGTTCTGTTAGCCTTACGCCTGTCGGAGACACAGACGTCCATCCCCGTCTACAACGGGGCGTATCTCCATGGTAAAGTAAATTATTCTTATTTCAACCATCGGTATATTAGCTGCGACATAGGAATCAAGATGCTATGACCGAAAAAATTTGATTGACAGATGACCGCTGATTTATGATTGGCTGAATTTAGGTGTACAAGCTGACGTGTAACTAACTGGCCTGCATAAAATAACGAGAAAAAAACACTGATTTTAAGACAGGATTTAAAAAAATATAGGAACTAACTTTTGGGACAATATGGTCTGATAGAGAGAACATTTATATAAATGTTTAAGCCAGAATGATTTGAAATTTAAATATGACTTCCCTATGACTTTAACACCTAGAATACAGGTGTTGCAAACTGCATTATATAATTTAAAAAAGAAGCTCTATGCAGTTTAGAGTAACCCAGCTACTGGTTGACTCGTCTGGGCATTTAGGATTTTAACACCAAACTTATGCATTGCATTCCTCCTTTAAAAAAAACTGAGCGATAATCTGTTTAACGAGGCCTTAAATTATAGGATGAGACTCAAACAGCAAATATCATGATATGAAGACTTATTTTCTTATTTCTCATATGGGAAGAACTCCTATTTGGCATTAGAGCAAGAGAGCAATTTGTAGCCTTGAAGGGTGCTAAGCTTGTAATTTCCAGTTTTGGCTCCACTGAAATTAAGATGTGACATTGGAATGTCACAAAATGAAAGTGTCTCCCTTCGAAATCTGCTTGCAGACCACTTTAGATCAGCAAATTAAAAGGTCATGGAGTTACAAGAGAAAAGGTTGTCTAGATTAAATCCTACCCTCAAAGAATTAAAAATTATTAATATCAGATATATTTTGTTTCCTAACAACTTTTAGTTTACTTGGCTCTCATGTTTAAGGAGAACTTAAACTGTTGTAAAGTGGCAGACTGGGTCAAATGACTCTTAATGACAAATCGGACCCTCTCAAGTTAGATTTTAGAAGAGAAGCCTATATGAAGCAACAAATGCATGCCAAATGCTATATATTGACATCTAAATTTCCTAAATCGCCTCGCCCTAATCTCACGCCCGTTGATGAGAAAACAGATTCAAATATTGTCATGATTGGGTACAGGGTTCTAACCCACATGCAGAACACAACGGAAGCAGGGTAAAAGTTTGACTGTTTATTAAAGATAAACACAAGTTATATGAGTGAATCAGAGAAACAGATCCGGGACTGGTCACACAGGGTTCTCTGTAGAGAAGGACAGTTAGGTTAGCCAGGATGCTGAAGATCTTTGTCAGAGGAATTGTGCAGGTTTGTACCTGAGACGTGATTCAGATTGACAGCTGAAGGAGGGAACTGAGTTGGGTTCAGAGGCTTGAAGTTGGCAGAGGGCTAAGCAGCGGCAGGGCTTGACTTCAGACTTAACAGCGTTCAGATCCAGAGTCTTTCTTCCGATCCTCTTCTTGAGGGTGGGCAGGCAGGTTCAGACAGTAAGATTCTGCTGGTGAGCTCCTGAGAGCCGGCAGGCGGATTTCAGCAGATGAAACTCTTCCAGAGTTCGAGGGTTCAGTCAAGTTTCTTCCTAGGAGGCAGAGAAGACAAAAACTGATCAGATTTAAGTTCAAAGTTCTGGGAGTCAGAGAATCAGACGGGCTGGTTGGCTCAGGCTTTGCTAACCATAACTGGCTTAACATTTTGGCGCTGGAGTGTAGTCCTGCTGCTGCTTATATGCTGGTCTCCTGATTACTTATGGATCGCAGGTGTGGTCGTCAGCTCAGCTCCAGGAGACCTAGAGGCGCCCTCTGCTGGAGGAAGGTGGACAGACCTCCAGATCCCAACAAATAGGACAGAAAAGGGAAATTTTAATCATATTCTTAATGTTTTCAAATTTCTTTTACATGAATGCCTTAAAATTTATAGTTTTGGTGGACAAATAAATTTCACTTAATAGGATTTTACTTGTATGGAGACACGTTTCATTTGATGTGCTACAGTCAGTGTGCGATGAATAAATCCTCTGCTCAGTGGATGGCAATTCCAGATTTTGCTAAAACTCGCATAATTGTAAACTCATTGTTTCTCAAACTAAGCAGAACCTGGAACCTGCGCAAGATTCCCTCCCCTCCTTATTTTCATGTTCCCTCAAATCGCGTTGTCTTTGCTGCTCGGCCGTGATGCTGTTTAGAACAGTGCAGGCTGTGGCCTACCCGTAAGCACACAGCCCGCCAAATGTTATAAGGGCAATATTATTTCCATTACTGGTAATTTGTAAGAGAAATGTACACATTCAGTGATAACATGTCACAGGGGATGGTCATTTAAGAAGGGGTATGATTTTTAAAGTTTTTTTTTTTTAAGAAGGGGGATGCCCCCCCCCCCAACTCGAGTACTGTGTATTACCCATAGCAAAAGCCACTGGTAATAAAGATACTTCGTTAGATCTCCCATTTAGTCTCTCCTTCTTTAGACATTACCGTGAACTGTGATTCCTCTGCCTTTTACACTGAACATGTCAACAGAGACTGATAGTTGTGATTGTCTTCTTATTCACAGCTGGAGTTCTCGCCATCTGAAGTGGAACTCAAAGAGGCTGTGAACATTTTGCCTCAGCTCATCAGTATCATCTCAGAATTTAAACGTCTCCCCGAGCTTCTCTCCTGCAAAGAGTCCAACGCTAACCCCATACACATCAACATAGGTTGGGTGATTTTATTTTCCATTTCAGATTTGTGATGTTAGTGTTTGATTGCACTTTATTGCAATTTTACTGGATATGCCAAAAAAAATATAGCAAAAAAAGAATAATAAATTGCTAACTTGGAGAAAAATGTTCCATATTTTCTGCTTATTTAAAGAAAGAGGTTGCATGCCTTTGTATTCTGTTCACTTTACTCATACTGCAGGCCTGATTAAAATGCAGTATAGCCAGCCCCCTATTTGTGATTATATTAACAAATTCAAAGGGTTTAAGTTTTTCTGGAAGACGTTTGAATATGTTTTTATTTAGCCACCCCCCCTTGATTCTGTGTGATCACTTAGAGCAAGACGAAGATATTAAAAAGACTCAGGCTGAAGTTACTGCAGGAATATCCGCCATTGCAGAAAAACTGAAAGCTTACTTGAACACCTGGAGCAAACATAAGCACATCTGGGAAGAAGACATGGACAGAGTTATGCAGGGCTACAAGAACACCAAGGCTTCAGGATCTTGTTTTGATGAGGAAATACAAAGGTATTTTTTTTTACCCATTTATCTTTTATGGCAATTTCTGCAATAAGCTTTTACTATATCCAACTGCCAGTGTAACAGTCAGAAATGTTTTTTTTTTTTTTTTTTAGATTCAATGAGCTGTCACAAGTGAAAACTAGATACATAGTTTATCTGTGTATTTGTCCCAAAGAGATTTCCAAAAACATGCTTTAAAAGGGTTAATTAAGTTAACCATCTGTCCTTCTCTTTACTTACCAGGTACTCTGGGTACACCAGTAGTATTCAAAGTGAAGATACAATTGTCACAATACAGTTTGTGATGTTGGTCTGCTCACCGCTCAAGGCCTCCCTGGGGCTGTACTGCAGTGAGTGGCAGAAGAGGTTTTTACAGCTTCTCCTTGAAATGACAACCAGCAGTCTGCAAGAACTGTACAGATCAATGCAGAACAACGCTGACAGGTGCAATGCAGCCGTTTTGACAAATTTGCTCCATATTTGTCTTGCTGTAGCACAGTTTGCTGAGATGATATTGTTCCTCTGAGGCATATTAGCACAAAGGAAAAACAACTACATTAATGATTCAAATGAAATTCATTGTCATATCTCATTCCTTATGTCTCTTAAAACATAAAGACAAGTTCCATTCTTTTTAGTAAATATGCCTTTTTCTGTTTTTCTTTGGCATGCCAAGGCTGATGAAACATTCCCAAACACTGGAAGAGTTTAAAGAGAGCCAAACACTTTTGGAGACTGTCAAGGGTGGTTTGGACAGAATGGAAGCAGAATTCCCTCTTATCCACGACAGATTTGCCATCCTTGACAAATATGAGGTCCCCGTGGAAGAAAACGTGAGTTTGCATCTTCCTACTAAGGTCAAGGTCATTGATGTGTGTGTGTGTGTGTGTGTGTGTGTGTGTGTGTGTGTGTGTATGTATGTATATGTATATATATATATATATATATATATACACACACACATTATCAGTAGTCACATACTGTGGTTATTGAGAAAGGAACATGTAGCACTTTACTTATTACGTTTACTTATTGTACTATAGCAGACATAAACATTGCTCTACTTACTGACACATTGAACTTGGCAGCTGCTAATGAACCAACTGTCATATTTTATCCAAAATGCAAATGTATGTTTTATCCCTGTGGACAGCAAGTTTTTAAAAAGCGTTCTCTTTTTCACTCATATAATGGAAGAAATTCTTAATCCTATAGATTCGTAAAATGTTATTACTCATTTTGTGTATGTGCAATAGCATACTTCTGGTCTTGTTATGTCAAATATGTCCTAGAGTTCTAGAGTCTGGTTGTCTTGTCAGAAGCTGTTAATGGTCCCACAACCGGTTTTAAAACCCAGAGACTGATATTTTACAGCTGCTTCTTTCCATGCAATGGATAAACTACCACTTGAGCTGTGTTCTCTGGATTAGGTAAATGACAAATATGGATTCAGTAAGATTGACAGATGACCCTTGATTTACGATTGGCTGAATTTAGTTGTACAAGCTGACATATAACTATAAATGACAACCCCCCCCAACCTCCCCCCCACAAACACACACACAGAGATTTTAAGACAGGATTTATTTTAAAATAGAAATTTTCTAACTTGTGGGACAATGTGGTCTAAAACAGATACATATCTATATACATGTTTAAACCAGAATGATTTGAAATTTAGATATGACTTCCCCACAACTTTAAAAACAAATAACTGAATATGACAACAATCATCGAATCCTGAATGTGAACAAAACAAGAGAGATGTGGAGGAGTATCAAAATGTATACGTTATTAGGAAAAATGTCTTTAAATATTAATTCGACAACATACATTTTGGAATAACTGAACCCCTAATAAGATATTCTAATTGTTTTTCCATGAAATCATGTATTATTTTGATGTTAGTGCATTTCTACAAATGGATGAAAATTCTGAAATTAAATCATTACTTTTAATCCCTCTTGTCTGGTTTGCACCTGCAGGTTCAGGCCATGCGCGAGCAGCTGAATGACAAGTGGATTTGGTTTAAGGAGGTTTTGATTCAAAGTGACATTGTGTTGAAAAAAGACAAAGAAATGCTAAAAAAAAACCTTTTCCTCCAGTTTGAAGAATCAAAGATTTACCCAACTCTGCCGGAGTTCCTCACCAAAGGTCACACAGACACACACATATTTACACTACCCGTCTATTAATACCGGTTCAAATGAAGCCCTAACTGTTTGAAGATGTGCTCCATTCACTGAGAATCAAAACAATGTAGACTTACTATGTTTTTTTTTCTCTTCTCTGCTTTTTGTTATCCTACATTAATACTGATATATTTGTGTAAATATAAAAATGTGTCACTTTACGATTTCATGTCCAGGTCCATTTGGGAGCAACCTGAGCATTGATCAGGCCTTAAAACAAATAGAAGAACATCGTGCCCGACTGGAGGCTCGAAGACAAGAGCAGCTCACCATCTTACATGGGCTGTCCTTTTTTGAAATCAAACAGAACCCCGATGAAAATATCCGCATTATGGAAAAGGTCTTAAGAAGCTCTAGACGTTAATAGTAACACACTGTATACTTTTCACAAAGTAAAGACAAAGACATTCACATAAACATTCAAAATTTTCCTTTAAATCTCTAGGACTTGGGTAATCTCCAACAGGCCTGGGAAATATCTCAGGAATGGGAGGAAAACTGGAACAACTGGAAGGACTCTCATCTGGCGCAGCTGCAGACGCAAAGCATGGAGAGGGCAGCAATGGAGCTGTTCAATAAACTTCAGATCCTCCAGAAAGATCTCAGGGTTAGTTCTGCTGTAGATGGTATGTAGGATGCCCATGTTAGCTTATAGAATGTATCAATACAGATGCCTAGTTCAAATGCAGAGGAACTTGTTGGTGTTAGAGACATCGTTCATTGCACCAGAGCTACATTAACAATGTCCCCATATGAGCAGAGATGAAAGATGCACAGACTCTCATAGTATCGCTTATAATGGATCTTATCAATTGTTTTCCTTAATGACAAAGACAAAGCTTTTTCGATAAGAAAAAGGCCTCTCCAGATCTGCAGCAGGACAGTGTTCCTTCCAACAGCTACAAACATCCACACAAACTTGTTTAAAAAACCCTATGAATTACAACAATCCTACATTTTCCCTTTGGATTCATAAGGTATATTTGAATACTGCTGTAATAAAGGCGTTGAATCGATCTTTCCCGACCTTACCCATGACCTTACCTCATAGTCAGGAGCTCGGCCATCATGGGAGGCTTCTCCTCCACATTGAGAGGAGTCAGATGAAGTGCCAAGGATATCCGTTTCAGATGGCCTCTGGATGCTTCACTCTGAAGTTTTATACTTTTACTTAGGTAGATTTTACAAGCTGTAAGAGCGTAACTCAGAGTTAAAAAACGTCACTGCATGGCAGAGGTTGTGCTGCTGCTCAATAGAAACTCAATTTTCCAGTTGACGTTGAATTATTTTGTGATCTTTAATTTGTAAATAAAACTATTATATTTAGAAAAGCTGAGTTGAGAAGCTGTTTTTCTGCTTACAAAAAACACAAAATGTGAAATACTGAGAAAAGTACATTTCAATGGGTATTTTGAACCTCTTTACACTGAACTCTGTTACAATTTCTACGAAACAAAAAAAAAAAACTTTTATCTTAATAAATAAATTTAAAATGTAATAAAATCTAGTATTATACATTGGACATCAGTTAGTGTCATTGACTGCAATCCTTGCTGTATTAGGTGATAACATGATGTGTTTTTTTATCTTGCAGGGTCAAGAGTGGGAGATAGTTAATATCTCCAAGAGTAAGATTAAATGGTTCAAGCAGATTCTCTCCCTAATTACTGATCTAAAGAACCCAGCATTAAAGGACAGGTAATGGCTAAAATCATCCCCCTCCAGTTGCATTTCATCTGCAAACTACACTAGTCCCCATTAGTGTGGCATATTTCTTTCAAGTATTTAATAAGCTATGATGCCTTTCAGCCCAGTTCTCCAACTAAATCATCTGGCTCTTCATCATTTCTAAGGCTGTTTTCTCCATCCACTATGCAGCCTGTTGTAACAGTCTGTGCTTAATCAGGAAAAAAGTGGGACTTACTATTATGTGGACAATTTCGACAGTAAACTCATCCTAGAATTGAATTTTTATGGACTAACCCCCCCAGAACATTTTATTTTAACTTTGTAGGAAAACTAAGTAGAAATCTATGGATTTTTTTTTTTTTTTTTTTAAGTGTGATGCCTATACTGATTATTTTCACACAGTCTAACTGATCCACGATATGTGCTACTGATATTTTTGGGCCAATTCTTGCAGTCAGTATTGCTTTTACTTTCTTCATTTACATCAGGGGTGTCAAACTGGTTCCAGAAAGGGCCCTGTGGCTGCAGGTTTTCTTTCCAACCAAGCAATAGCTCACCAGACTCATGTCATCTCATCAAGTCATCATGTTCAGATTGGACTCACTTGATGAGTTGACTGGAGTCTGGTGAGCTATTGCTTGGTTGGAAAGAAAACCTGCAGCCACACGGCCCTTTCTGGAACCAGTTTGACACCCCTGATTTACATGATCAAATCATAAATGATAGCAAATGTTACACACGTTTTTATTTAAACAAAAAACAGATATCTATTACCGAAATATCCCACTAACAATAGATAGTATATGAAGGTTATAGGAATGCACATACTCCACATAATCTCAAGGCAGTGCTGCTCAACGCACTTATGAAATTACCATTCCATGTATGTATCAGCCAATATCAATACAAGAAAAATATGCTGATTTCTAAAATATGAACGTTAAAACAGTGGGAAGGGCTTAGCACAGGGGTCCGCAAACCAAACTGCTCAAAGAGCCATATTACACAAAAAACCCCCCAAAAAATACATTTGTCTTGAGCCGCAAAAATCTAAAAGTCTTATACTGTCTTATACTGCCTTGTATGGCAACATGGGCTCTAAGTACATTATCCCACTATAGAAAAGGGCTTAAATATATAATAAGCATCTATGATTAAATGTTTATCCTGGAGAAAATGTAACATAACAGCATGAGGGAGGGGGGTGCAGTGAACGCTTTCACCGTGCGCTGCTTCACCACCCTTCACCGTTCGGTTTAGGTTTTGTTTCATTGATGAAATTACCGAAACACAATAATGGAATCTTTCTACGGTGGATGTGTTTCTGTTGGGATGAGCTGATTGAGTCATGAGGAACCAAGCAGGAACTGACATCCATCAGAGCACAGGTCTCTAACCTCGAAATTCTGCATCCTCTGTCACCAGCATTCCTTGGTGTGATTTATTTTTTTAGGATTTGGGGGAAAAATGGAAGAAAGTTCACATACCTGCATCAGAGCACTACCTGTTTGATCTGTGGACAGTTTTCCATGCTTGCAACAAAACTAGCAGCAGTAATGGAGTTTGGAGATGCAATCCATTTCTTAAATCTATGTTTGGGCTCCTCTAATTTATCCAGAACTTCTTTAATCGCACTTTTTCTCTCAGTCCCAACTTGGTGATCAGTTGCATATTAAGCTTGCCTTCCCTGGAAATGCCTTTCCAAATTTTATTTTTATTTTTTAACAACCTCTCATTACAAAGCAAAAATGCAGGCATTCCTTCCGCATTGATAATAAAAGCAAATGATGCAGTCCATTCTTTGAATCCTCTTTTCTCATCAGCTATCTTCCTTTTTTTCCCTTTGGAATCCATGCTCCGAGACACACCTGCAGCTTTGTTTGCTTGGCACCATGCTATGCTGGTTCCAAGTTATGACCACTGATCTCTATGGCTATGATGCAAATGATTGTTTAAATTTATTTATAATTTTTTCTTTAACCTCCTGCACACCATATTAAAACACCAGCGGTTATTTTGACAGCAATGCAAAAAAAGTAAGACATTTGTCAAGCATACCCTTCCTTATAAAAGAAGACATTTAATTTATTGTATTGTTATACAACATGAAGAGTCATATGTGTGTTAAATCATTTGCCAGTTACACAAAGAAAAAATTATTTTTTCTATCAGCAGAAAATATATGTACTGTAGACAGATTTGCTTTTTATTGGCCTAGAATTTAATGCTTTTTTGTCTTTGTTTCAGACATTGGAGGCAAATCTGTAAGAACCTTAAGTGCACATTTGACCCCACCAGCGCTGACTTCACTCTGGAGAGGATCTTGTCTCTTAAACTGGATCTTTATGCTGGGATAATCAGCAAGATCTCTGGAGCTGCCAGCAAGGAGCTTTCCATAGAACAGGTTGGGATTCAGTTTTAGGTTTTCGCTTAGTCCTTGTTTATTTTGGAAGGAAAATGTTGGGAAAAACATGAATGAACCCTTGTCTTTTCTGGCTTTACATCTAACAGCTTGTGCAACTCAACCATGTCTATTTTAATCCTTGAAGGACCACTGACTCTAACCGTCAGACTTTGTCACTACAGCTTTACAGCCGTGTGCACATTGAAGCGTGCAGTTATTAGTTTATTCACATCCAATGCAATTAGCTTTAGACTTGTGAACTCAATTGGTAATTGTTATTCATAAATTGTGGCTTAGTTTAAGGAGATTTGAGTGAAGGATAGCCCCAATGGGGAATTCATTTGATGATTTAGAACTACAGAAATTAATGTATGATTTTATTGCACAATTAAAGTAATTCTAAGGGGTTTCTCATTCATAAATATTTACAATTACATGACTGCAAATAACTACTTTTTTCTACCATCTTTGTTTTCTATTTATTTGTATTACAAACATTCTTTGTCACTACAGGGTTTGGAAAGTGTCGAGAACACATGGGACAAAATATTACTCGACATTGTGCCACACGAAAAGAAGGGACATTTTTTCCTGAGGTGAGGCTGTTTTAATCTAAAGCTGATGGTAGGACTCTTAACTATTATGTATTCATCAACTTTTTAAAAAAAAAATCACAGAGTAAAACATTGTTAAAGTTTCACTTCCATCTCCTGAGTTCTCAGTTTAACATGGCTCAGTACTTTTGATAAAGGTACTTTATGAGACCTCAGTGTCTGTGTAGAATCTGTAGTCGGCAGATCAGATTTTTCTGTCTTTAAAGATCTAAGAAAAGGTTTATGAACGCATTTCCTCATCACTCCTTACAAATAAAACAAAAAAACAATAAAGAGCAACTGCAGCTCCAAAAACCTGAGGCTAAGAGTGCAACAAATGAATTTAAATACACAATAAAACTCTCAAAATAAAAACCTAATTGGTACAAGGGATCAGTATCTATTTCAGTATATATAATTTATTTATCATAATTTTATTTTGTATTATGTCTTCAGTACAGGAAGAGCCATAAGAGGGGCTGGGAAGAGTCTAGGATCGCCCATGCTGTTAATTGTACTTTTTTATGATTACATGGGACTTTTTTTAATACTCATAAAATGTCATAAAAAGATGAGCTTATTATTCTGAAAATTTCTTCTGACACGCTTAATCTCAAGTGGGGTCGCGAGGGGTGATGGTGCCTATGTCTAGGTTTCTACGGGCGAGAGGGTACACCCTGAACAGGTCGACAGTCCATCACAGGGCAACACATAGACAAACAGGACAAACAACCATTCACACACACACTCACACCTAAGGAGAATTTAGAGAAGCCAATTAACCTAACAGTCATGTTTTTGGACTGTGGGAAGACCCAGAGAAAACCCACGCATGCTCAGGGAGAACACGCAAAATCCATGCAGAAAGACCATTAGAAAACCTAATCACCTAATCACTGGATAAACTGTACATGCACAAGTGCGCTTTCACAAACTACTACAGGTGCATACATATCAGATTAAATAATACTACTTATATTCCAGCGATTGTACCTAGGTGTTACTTTATTGCATGTGTTATTGTATGCCTGTTGGTTGTGTTCTCCTTTTTACATCTCTTTGCAGGTGATGAAGCAGAATGAAAATGTTTTATCGTTATCTCCCTTTTATCTCCTCTTTCTTTCATCTTTTCTCCTTTTTTTCTGTTTTTCCTTTCCTGTTCTACTTAGATCGCAGTGTCCATATAATCTTTAAAACTCCCTGCATATTTATAATAAAGCAATTTATATACATAAATCAAGCGGAACACTATGGGAGTAGCCATACTGCTCCACTTGTGAAAGTAAAATCTGTTGGGCTCTTTTTGGCATCAAAAAAGTTATTCTTATTGCCACATCGCCTGACAGGACACTGTACAACAAAAAATCTTCCTCCTTCTTAAAAAGAAGTCAAGAAAACCTAATCACCAAATAACTAGTTGTTGTTTTTTGCTCTGAAAAGTGCACATTTTGACATTTTTTTCAAACATTACTTTTATGTTTCATCCCAAATTAACATGGCAAAAACAACATATTAAGATATTTGCCATATCCTAAAAGCCAGTTTTAAAATGGAAAAGAGAACCAAAAAAATGAGTTTTTAGGGGAACACAATTCTTAAATATTTTTTAGACTTTTCTATGTATATTTCTTTAATGAAAATATAAATCGTAATCATCTAAGATCTGAACAATGTGCTGTAGCTGGACAAAGACATGTAACTCTGAAGTAAACGAAACAATAATTCCATTTAAATAATTTGTAATTAACTGATAAAGACATTCACAACAATATATCCCAAAAATACACCACATTTGATAAATACTTTAACACCTGAAAAAAACATTGTTTGGAATAAATGTAGATCACGCTCTTTAATTTGTCCTCTGTCCTGATGGTGAGGGGGGAATGTCCAACTGAGCATGTCCAGTTTCAGGGTCATTATAGTATGTTTCTGATTGGTGGAAAAAAGACTTAATGAGTGAAAGATAAACTTAAAAAATACATCATATCTGTGGACAAAGTGAGTTAATCAACACAAATATCAAAGTAGTTTTTATATTTTACAGGCAACAGTAATGCTGGACTGTTATGGCCAGTGGCCTTTTATTTCTTTTTATGTGTATGTTGTCTTTTCTCAGGTTATTTTTCAGGTGCAGTTGCAGCTAACTCTCAGTTGGGTCTTTTATGCTTTATTTACAACATACAATTTACAAAATCTCTTGTTGGGAGATATAATTATATATCTCTCTTGTTGGGAGATATATAATATGTTCTATAGAACATATAGAAGTTGAACTGAACAAAATACCTATCAATCATCTGGTGGCGTTTTCTCCGTGGGGCTATGAATTCAAATTAGACGTATACTAAAAACCAATCAAACATACTAATTTATCACACCAGTATATTTATATGAAGGCCAACAACTAAAAACATTATAAAAAACAATTTATAAAAACAGAAACATAATTTAATATACAGGTTTTCTTTTTTGTACACAAATTTTGCCCTTCTGAGGCTTTGTGAAGGCAAATCTGTGTTTTGCATGCTCTAATATGGTGTCACAAACCTATAAAAATAATGTACCAGTTTAATATTGGAGAAGCTATTAGTCAGCTTTATATTTTTTTAATGTATAAAACTATTTACTTTCTGAGAATGTATTTATTGAAGTGCAACCATGTTAATTAAGATCTAGAAAAAGTAGACTATACCCAGTTAGGGGTGGCCACAGAAGGTGGCTATGGCCATTGTCACCCCCTAGTTCTATCTCTAGGATCCTACGTATTGTTCTATGAGACCCCTGGCCTTTTACAGGTTGTTCAATTATTTAAACCCAGACAACTGTATAAAAAAGACTGCGGACTAGTTTTATTTATGCAACAGAAAAACTATATGATTTTACTTTATTGGCACATCAAGACAGAAATGTGTCCTGTGTAACAGAGCCGTTGATACAGATGGCCATCATGCTTTTTTGTGTTCCAACACTGACTGATATCCAAAGGTAAACATTGCCATTCTATTCGTTTTCTCATCCTTTTGTCTCCAGGGGAACTGAAAACATTTTCCAGGCAGTCGATGATACCCAGGTCATTTTGTCCAAAATGAGGGCATCCTGCTATGTTGAAGCATTTGAGGCTGAGGTGGACCAATGGGAACAGCGACTGTCTCACCTACTGGAAGTCGTTGAGATGATCCTTGCAGTGCAACGAAACTGGATTTACTTGGAGGTAAAGAACTTACATTACTCACTAGGTATTCATTGGTTTAACAAATCTAGACTTGAAAAGTTCAGTTTAGGCAAATGGATGTGAATTTTTCTAGAAGACTTATCACCTCTTATCCAAGAGGCTTCTACAGTTCCAGCTAGTGGTGGGGAGCACTGAGATTAATATACTGTAGGGGCCGGATTTATCAAGATCCAATTTTGCGTGCAGTAATTTGCGCTCGCAAACTGGAATTTTGCGCG